AGTAACTTACACTGACCCCTGCTGACACACACCCTGGCCTAGACAACCAGTAATACGCACGGCGGCCGTGTGGATAAGATTCAATATGGCTATATCGCACGGCCCGATGGCCTGACTGAGTCATAGGCTCGGAGATGAGTAAGAGAAGAGAACTGGTGGTAGAAAGAGGAGGGGAGAAGCTGGATGAAAGAGAAGGGAGAGAGTGGTGACGAATGAGGACGGAGAAGCTTGTGGAAAAGGAGAGGGAGAAGAAGAAGGTGAGGAAGAGAAGAGAATCTGGTGGAGAAGGAGGAGAGAGAAGATATGTTGGGAGAAGGAGGAGGGAAGAAGCCTGTAAGAAAGTAAGGAGGGAGAAGAAAGTGTGGGAGAAGGAACGAGAATACTGTGATGAAGGGAGAAGAGCAAAGGGAGAAGGGTGGAGAGAGAGGGGAGAAGTGGTGGAGAAGGAGAGGGGAGATAGAAGGTGTTGAGGAAGGAAGGTAGAACTCGAGAAGCGAGGAAGGAGGTAAGGGAAGAAGTTGTTGAGAAGGAGAGGGGGAGAAGCTGTGGAGAAGGAGGGGAGAAGCTGGGAGCAAGTAGGAACGTGGTGAAGGAGGGGAGAAGAGGAGGGGAGAAGCGGTGGAAAGGAGAAGCACGACAGCTTCTCCCCTCTCTCCCCCATCTCCCTTCTCCTCCACCAGCTCTCCCCACCGTCTTCTCCACCAGCTCTCCATTTCCTTACTCCCTCACGCTGTTCTGCTCCTTCTCCCCCTCCTTATCACTCAGCTTCTCCCTCTCCTCACAATCGTTCTCGCCTTCCCCGCTCCTCCTCAACACCAGGCTCCTTCTCGCTTCTCCCCCTCCTCCTTTCCACCAGTCTCTTCTTCCCTCTTTTCCGCTCTACCTTCTCCGCCTCGCTCCTCCACCAGCTCCGCTTCTCCCCACCCTTCCTTATCCCCTTCTCACTTCTCCTCTCCTCCTCCACCAGCTCCCTTCTCCGCCTTCTAGTCCCCTCCTCCTCACCAGATTCCTTCTCCCCTCCTCGTCTCCTTCCTCCTTCTCCACTCTAGCTTCTCCTCGTCCTATCTTCTGCCACCTAGCCTTTTCTCCTCCTCCCCACTTCCTCACCTCTACAACTCTGCCTTCTCCACAGCTTTCCCCTTCCATCCCTTCTCACCAGGTTCTCCCACCGCCCAGCCTTGGGGCTCTTCTTCCTCCACCAGCTCTCCACCTCCTCCACCACCTTCTCTCTTCTCCCCTTCCTCTTCTCCACAGCCTCTCTCGCTCCTCCACAACCTTCTCCTTCTTCCCAATCCTCCTCCCACTCTAGTCTCCCTTTCCCCTTGTCCTCTCCACAGCAGTCTCCCCCTCCTTCCCATTCTCCACCAGCTTCTCCCTCCAAATCCTTCCCCCCCCTTGCCTTCTCGCAACCGACCTGTCTTCTTCTCCCCTCCTCTCTTTACTCCAACTCAGCTTCTCTCCCCCTCCACAGACCCTCTCCTCTTCCCCCCTCCTCCCCGATCACGCCCGCTTTCCCCCTCCTTATCCCATTCTCCCCCCGCCCTTCTCCTCCTCCTCCACCCGCCTTCTCCCCGCCTTCCTATCTCCCTCCGTCCTTCCCCCTCCTCCTCCCCACTCGATTCTCGCCCGGCAAATGCCTTCATCCCCTCTCCTTCTCCGCACCTCCTCCTCCACCAGCCCCTCTCCCCTTCGCCCTTCCCCCCTCTCTCCACCCAACTCTCTCCCCTCCTTCCCTCTTCCGTCCTTCTCCATAACCCAGCTTCCCCTCCTTCTTCTCCACCAGCTTCTCCCCCTCCACCACTTCTCCTTCTAACTTCCGCCGTGCGTTCAAGTTCCCACTTCCCTACCCCACTGATCGCACTGCACTGTGTACATACTTCTACATCGTAACATTCCATTGAATCATTGTTAGATTTTTGTAGCACTTGAATGAGAGATTGATACATCTATTGGCATAAAAATATTATCTATTACATATATTATCAATTACATATATATATAACTAGGTTATCCATCATCCTCTTATATAGAAGGGCGAGCCTGTTTGTGTCTGTTCTCTGTCTGTGCTGTCTTCTAGTCCGTCTATTTTCTCTCCCCCTACGTAAGAGTGACCCCACCATCATAAACGTTCTGATCAGCTAGTATTCCCGACGACCATCACTTTAATTAATAAAAAAGTTTGACTAAAAATAATTTGACCCAGAAAAATTGACAGAACCAGGAAGAATTTGACCAAAAACTAATCTGACAAACATAAATTGACAAAAAAAACGTAGCGTCCCTCTCTTCTTTGACACTCTTGGCGGAACAGGCAAGACCTTCGTAACCACCTTCTTCTGTCCAAGGTCAGCAGAGCGAGGAAGATTGCCTTGCAGTTGCTTTCAAGAGTTATTCTGCACCATCTGCTGCGACGCAGGCACATGCAGCTTCACTCGGCCTTTCAAGGCTGCCATTTCACCTGAAAAGCGCAAGATCTCACCTGCAACATCCCTGTGCTCCACAAGGCCAAGCTTCCTAAGAGTGCAGCTCAATAGTCATGGGACAGAGCAACCAATGGACTCACAAAGCCGCCTTTGAAGTCAGCTCGACAACAACCCACAAGACTCTTCGACAACAACACAAACGTCATGAGAGTGTGCCTCCCTGTCTCAGCGCACTTTCCGCCCTAAAACCTGGTCCAGTTTATACCAGACAAGAGCAGATGCTGTCAAGTGCCTGCACATGTCGTCGTACTCTGGAGCGAGGTGAAACCGTCACAGCCTGAAGACTGCCAACATGAGGGTGCAGCTCAGAATGGGATGAAGAAGCTGGCCGCATTCTCTCAGCACACGCTGGAGTCGCATAGCAACGTCACCACCACAGCTGATGGCAGTCAAGCTTCCATCCAGCACCAGCGACGTTACATCAGCCAGCTGACGAGCAAAGTCTTCTCAAACCTCCACGTCCGCTATCAAACCAAGACTGCTGAGCAATCAAGGCCATCCCTAAGGCAGGGCGAAAATCTTTCATTGCCAAAGATCCCTCACATGCCCATCCCGACCTCCATTTTCAGTTCAAAGAGGCTCCAGTTTCTCAGTCAAGCTAAGCTTTGGCCATGTCCATCAACAAGGCCCCCAGGCCGAGTCCTCAAGGTGGTTGATCGAACCTCAGTGAGCCAGTGTTCTCCCATGGCCATCTCTATGGTGGAGTGCTCCAGGATGGTAACTCCAGACCAACTCTACATCCTTTCTCAAGATGGCAACACCAAGAATGTTGTGTACCAAGAAGCACTGCAGAACTGACCAGAAGTGAAATTCTTAGCACAGATTTATAAAATCCGAATAAGATCAGTACAGCCGTCATAGCAGACTAAATTATAGCTCTTTAATCCCGGGCATCGCCGGGTAGCCCAGCTAGTTATTTCTATGTATCAAACAGACGCGGAGCGGGTTTTGCTTCCTAAAATGGCGGACGTGGCGCTCCATTGCGTACTACACGTCATTGCACGTGATTTCGCATGAGTGGTTTATCTTGTTCACTCTACGATCTTTGGTTTAGAGTTAGTGTTAGGGTTAGGGATGGGGTTTCTTGGTTGTCCACCGGACAATGTCTCAGATTGGTTAGGTTGTCCGGCGCAAATTCTGGTTGTCTCGGACAACCGGACAACGCTTATTTCGAGCACTGCAAATCATCATTTGCATATTATTTTTTATCACATAACACAACTTTATATCACATTTCATTTAAGTATTTCTCAACTTTGTTCACAGGATTACACTTCAGTATTATTGACTAACTACAAAGTGAGTATTATATTTTCGTGATTATTTCAAGTTCATTGTTGTATACATTTAATAATAAACTCAGGGTTCTCCAAGAGCACTTATAGGGCTATCGTCGAGCCCCGCCATCCTAAAATGCACCCGTCACTCTAAATATCATAGCCCCCGGACCCCCCTAGCACGTAAACCGCCTTCGGCGATTTGCAACTAGGACCGTAAAGGCAGCACCCGCCATGCTATAATGAAAAAGCTTGGAGAACCCTGAAACTGCCCGCTAATTCGGGAAAAATAATGAGCTGTTGTGGGTGCAGTAGAGAAGCTGAACCATAGAAGTGCTTGCTGTAAATGTTCTTAGGGAACCATCTAGTTATTGAAAGTCGTCAACAGATTCGTGATCATGCCATGTACAGATCTGTGCATCAAGTCTTTTATTATGGATTTCTTGCTCTAAAAGAGCATATTATGTTTTCCAAAAATATTTGGGACAAACATTAGAGCTAACGTAAACACTGTGCATTTATACTCATTTATGTGCATGTATTTCAATTAACATGACCATCTAATAGTGATGTATGTGTGGTATGTACTTGTACTTGTTATAGTGATTTAATGATGTGAATAATTGTATCCCCCGCGACGGGGGGGATACTATGGTTTCATGTCTGTCCAGCCGCCGCTCGGCGCCGCTGCAGACACTTTCCCTTCCGCTCTATAACTCGACTCATAATTGACCTAGCATGACCAAACATGGCCTACTTACACATCTTGGGGCGAAGGTGCGCAGCGTACCAAAACCAGGTCACTACGACCTTTATTTGACCTTTATCATATTTCCCTTCCGCTCTATAACTCGGCCCCTAATTGACCTAGCACTACCAGACTTGGTATACTTACACATCTTGGGGAGAAGGTGTGTCGCGTACCAAAACCAGGTCACTACGACCTTTATTTGACCTTGACATTGACCTTGATCATATTTCCCTTCTGCTCTATAACTCGGCCCCTAATTGACCTAGCGCTACCAAACTTGGTATACTTACACATCTTGGGGAGAAGGTGCGCAGCATACCAAAACCAGGTCACTACGACCTTTATTTGACCTTTACCTTGATCATATTTCCCTTCTGCTCTATAACTCGGCCCCTAATTGACCTAGTGCTACCAAACTTGGTAAACTTACACATCTTGGGGAGAAGGTGTATCGCGTACAAACACCAGGTCACTGCGACCTTTATTTGACCTTGACATTAACCTTGATCATATTTCCCTTCCACTCTATAACTCGGCCCCTAATTGACCTAGCGCTACTAAACTTGGTATACTTACACATCTTGGGGAGGTGTGTTGCATACCAAAACCAGGTCACTGCGACCTTTATTTGACCTTGACATTGACCTTGATCATATTTCCCTTCCGCTCTATAACTCTGCCCCTAATTTACCTAGCGCTACCAAACTTGGTATACTTACACATCTGGAGGAGAATGTGTGTCGCGTACCAAAACCACGTCACTGCGGCTTTTATTTGACCTTGACCTTGATCATATTTCCCTTCCGCTCTATAACTCTGCCCCTAATTGACCTAGCGCGACCAAACTTGGTATACTTACACATCTTGGGGAGGTGTGTCGCGTACCGAAACAAGGTCACTGCAACCTTTATTTGACCCCTAATTGACCTAGCGCGACCAAACTTGGTATACTTACACATCTTGGGGAGGTGTGTCGCGTACCGAAACAAGGTCACTGCAACCTTTATTTGACATTGACCTGGACCTTCATCATATTTCCTTTCCGCTCTATAACTCGGCCCCTAATTGACCTAGCGCGAGCAAACTTCGTATACTTACACATCTTGGGGAGAAGGTGTGTTGCGTACCAAAACCCCTAAGGCAACCAATTTTAACATACTTGCACATCTCAGGCAGATGAGTTGTGTAACAAACCTTTGTCTTTGTGATTTATTTAACTTTACCTACCTTCTACGTCCTTGCAGAGATATTTCATTCATACTAGATCACGATACATGTAGTTGGCGACAACTACCCTTTCTAGTTTCATTTCAGATTTGGCCCATGACTCAAGTGGTCAACTTTTATTTTGTACCTTTTCAACACAGGTTAGCTGTTTTCATTCTATTTTAATAGTTGGTAATCTGTAATAATAATTTGTTAATCTATACTTTAGTCGCTTTTTAATAATTTAAAGAATATAATATTGATATATTTATGTACACGTTGAGGAAATGCCATGATACAGAAACACATGCCCAACTCAAGCTCATGGCCTATTTTAGCAAAGCTGATAATTTAATCTTCAGAATTCTAGTGGTAAATGTTGTCGCCTTGGGTTGGAACACCTATCTTGCTTGGAAGGCTAACAAAGCACTAGAAAGAAGTCTAGTAAAAGAAAACAGGAAAGAACAAGCAAAGACAGTGTGAGAAAATGACAAAAAGCAGGTGTCATCTGCAATGAATGTTGATTTTATTTAATTGAAAAGTAAAATTATGTTTTGTATATGAGACATTGATCAAGTAATTAAAAGGACTATTTGTAAATACTGCAATTTTTCTGTTCTGTTCTACTTGTGTTGCATCTGTGGTCTCACTAGATAAATGAATTAATGGGTCATACTCGGTGTGTGCCTGCATGCATGTATTTGTGTATGAGTGGAAACATGAATCAGCATTTGTCAGTTTTTATTAATTGAAAATATAATCAAAGTTCAGCTGAGCAGTAAAAACTTTACACTTCTATATATTTACCAAAGAAATATTTTTGCTCGAGTCTTTTGGAAGCAGCTTAAAATGTTTAATGTCGTCTCTATGCATACAATTCCTCAATCACTGCAGAGAGATATCAAAGCATTTAAGCCTCTATGAACAGGAAAAGACAATAGGGTGATTAAGTAAAACCCACAGCTGTTGTTAGAGTAAACTTAGTGTAGTTTATGTTTACTCTTGGTTCACCCTGTATGATAAATGTATAGCCCGTACAGTGGCGCCATCTACAGTGGAAAATAAACGGGAACCTATTAATCCGCTCCACCGTGTAATGAAACCATAGTATTGTGTCTTTCCTTCTCTCCCGAATTGGAACTATTAGCCTCGTTCTGATATTAGGACTGAATTCCATTATGGCTGTCTGCTGAGTATTTCAATAATAAATCTGATGTTATTTGACTTATGCTTTAATCATAATCTTTCCTGTACAACATAACAAGCACCTAGCTGAAAACTTGCACTAAATGTTTAGATGCATCCTCTACATCCCTGCTACATTCTCAGAGCATGACCACTCACTACATGATTCTAGGTTTTGTTTACATTATTGAGAAATCACCTAGAATGGTTACTTAAGATGCGTAGACAGTTCAGTATTAAGCTCCGAAGGTGTGAATACCCCAAACTCTGTCACGATGCCACCAGTAATGAGCCTGGCAGGGGTGACATCAAATGCTGGGTTCCAACAATTTATTCCTGCAACACAAACATTACAAATAACTATTGCTAATAATACATTTGCACATAGGACATTCCACTTATGGTAACCATGGTAACCATCAAACAGACTATAATCAAACATCAAGCTAAAAGCTACCTCATGGTATATGCTAGCAAACTATAGAAATGTAATTTTACCTTTGGGTGTTACCCTAATTCCATTCATGTGTGTAATTTCTGTGGCAGGCCGCTCTTCAATAACAATTTCATCACCAGTGCTCATATTCAAGTCAATTGAGGAACTTGGAGCCACAACATAGAATGGAACATTGTGGTATTTCGCTAGGACAGCAAGCTGTAAAGATGCAATGGCAAGCCAACTAGTAGTCATTTTTAGATATAATTTTTCAATAAAATCAGGCAAACAACAAAAAAAGTGTATATCTCGTTAAGTGGATTTAAAAACCCCAGACATACAAAATAACAGCAGTGTTTAATTCTATGGTTATTTGATAATTACATTTTTTTATATTTGTAAAAAAACACATTATCATTATAAGTATGCAACATGCCAGTGATAATAACAAAATAGAAACACATTCATGAGCAGCGTTCGAAATTAGTGCAGACCCGGAGGAACGAGGCGTCCAAGTTTTTGCTTCGGCCACCATCTCTACGAAACTGCCGGTCCTCCTGACCGGCACTTTTTCCCCTCATATTACGCTGAAATACTACGGTTATTCTAATACGCTCCATTCCTAAGAATAGACGGGGTATCCAAAACATCTAGAGCCGAGGGCATGAACTCCCTCAACGCATGATTCGCCACACAAACAAAACTTTGTGAGTCTAAGAAATTGATTGCGGCATGACCCAAGTGTTTTTATGACCGCATAACAATAAGTTCATATGTCGCAGGGGTTATCGTGGGGAGTGAGGGCATGACCAGTGATACCTGACACACTCGTAATCAAAGCTGTTAACTGAATTCGTCACTTTTCTTTACGTAGAAAGTGGACTATTTTTATTTATATCTAGAAGCAATGTAAACTGTATCAAGATTCTATAGGCACTTGAAACTTTGATCTATGCATGGGGGTACCGTGGACTGGGGAGGAGAAAAACGAAGTAAAACCTTTCCCACAAGCTCCCCCGACATTTCTAGAGCTTGAGATATATTATTTGACCAACTCTAAGTTACATGTATGCTGTTAATGCCAATGGTTATTTTTGTATACTATTTTGTTACTCACTGCTAGTAAATAAGCGGACCACCAACTTTTGTGCAGGACCACCAACTTTTGTGCAGGACCACCAACATTCTGAAGTTGGTGGTCCTGCTGTGCACTAGATTTTCAGCCAAAATTCGAACCCTGTTCATGAGGCATATTTACATATCCCTCAGTCTCTTTCATGCCTGCCACTGTGACTACGGCCCAAACATCTCACATTTAAAATTGACATCAACATACTTGGTATGTTCCAATTTTGTTTGCAGTATCACCATTGGCAACCACTCTGTCTGCACCAAGAAAGATGCCATCTATCGTCCAGTTCTTCATCAAGGCAGCACACATGTTATCGCAGACCAGTGTGGAAGGAATGTCATCTTGCATGAGTTCATAAGCGGTCAGACGGGAGCCCTGGTTGTATGGCCGTGTCTCCGTGCAATATGCATGTAACAGTCGTCCCATATTGTGCAGAGTTCTGATGACACCTGGTGAAAGACTTGTAAAATCACATATTGAAACTTTGCTAGAGTCCAGAAAGCGTAGCATGGCAAAAAACATGCACCAATTAGAAATCAATCAAAAATCTTATCCTGGCTTTAACTAACTTCTTCTATTCCCCCTTCACCCTGGATAACACTGGGTACTTTTGTGAGGCTTTACATATAAGTTATGGGGCATATTAATTAAACGATTTTTATCATGTAATGTATTCATAGATATAGTAACATGCTGCCAGGCGCACTGATACTAACATTAACACACTTGCATGTGAACCCACACACAGGCACCCATGCACACATACGGTATATATACAGTGCTCGAAATAAGAAAAAAAATGTGGTTGTCCTGCGGACTACCCAGGCATCAAATTGGGTTGTCCGCAACAACTTCTGGTTGTCCCCAAAAAATATCCCAAAATCTCCTATTTTCAATCACATAATAATATGGTCAGAAAACACCCAAAAACAGTGGTGTAGCCAGGATTTTTTAACAAGGG